AGTTGTATGAGCCCCTAATAAAATGATTTTTTAAAATCAGTTTCACTTGAACCTTTTTTTTTTTTTTTGATGGCCGATTTAAGAGAACAGTGTATGACTGTGGAATTTTGTTTTCTGCTCAGGAAAAATGCTGCAGAAACTGTTGTGATGCTGAACACAACTTACAATAACAGCACTATGGGAAAAAATCAAGTGTACAGGTGGTTTTCTTGTTTCAAAAAAGGTAAAAGGTCAACTGATGATAAACCTCATTCTGGATGTCCGGCAACTTCCCTAATGGACAAAAATGTCAACTTGTGGTGCATTTGGAGCTCATTCCACCAGGTCAGACTGTTAAGCTTGCTGTTTAGAGCAGTGGTTCTCAACCTTCCTAATGCTGTGACCCTTTAATACAGTTCCTCGTGTTATTTTCGTTGCTACTTCATAACTGTAAATTTGCTACTGTTATGAATCGGGTGACCCCTATGAAAGGGTCGTTTTACCCCCCCAAAGGGGTTGTGACTCACAGCTTTGGAACCGTTGACTTAGAGGTTCTGAAAAGATTGTATTAACAATGTGACAATAGAGGCCTCATTTGTGGCAGATGGGAGACTGATTTTGCCACCACAACAATGCACCAGCTCACACAGCCATCTCAGTGCATCAGTTTTTGGCAATTAAAAACAGCATGCCTCTCTTGCCCTATGCAAGATCTCTTTACTCACCTGACCTCACTCTGTGAGACTTTTTGTTTCCAAGAATGAAGAGGGACATCAAAGGACAGAAATTTGATGACATAGATGAGGTGAAGAAAAAAAATGAGGGAGGTGCTGTCAGCCATCCAAACAGATGAGTTTGAAAAATGATTCCCAGAATGGAATAGCAGATTTGACAAATGTATTAAGTGTATTGGAGAATACTTTGAAGGTGATACAGTTGTTTTTGCAAGAAATTTAAATACATAACTCTGTAAAGAAATCTGGGATTTTTGGCTACCCCCTCGTATGTTTAGAGCACTTTACAACTTATATAGGGCCTTCATCTACATTAGCTTATATGCTACAACTTTGACTTAAAAAAATATTTCAAGGAAATTTCCCCTACGGCTAGAAAAGATTTGCTTCCCTTATATAAGGTGTCAGGAATTCAAATATATCCTTTCAATCGTAAGAAAAAGAAAATCAATAAGCATCTAATTATTTCTCACCACTATTGCTTTTTCTACAAGAAAGAGCTGTTGGAGACTGGAGTAGGTTCTCCAGAGAAAATGAAAGTGAGCACGGGAGAAGACACAGCGGTGAATTCCTAATTCCTGGACGCGCTCCAGAGTGGGACCCCTCATAGTGTAGTGGTTACCACACTGGGCTGTGATCCGCACGTTGGAGACCAGCAGCATCCCCGCCTCGGGAGAAAGACTGGGCTTTCTAGTCCCCTAAGCAGTTATAGCCAACCTCATGAGTCAGCACTGGCGGCGTGAGCACTCGAGTTTGGGCTTGGATTAAGGTGCTCAGACATGGCTGCACTCCAAAAGTGTCTTTGAAGGGAGATTGGAGAGATTCTGGGGTAAGAGGGGACAGTAGTAGGAAGGCCTGAGATGGGCACGGGTACAGTATATTCGAGAGGCAGAGAGAAGGCTGGTGTGGCAGGCGCCGAGTGAACAGGCTGGAGAGCCCCCAACCACCCCCACTGCCTGTGCACCTACTGCGGTGTTCGTGCGGTGGTCACACACTCCACGGGGTCCAGGTGTTCAATTTCTCAAATGGGAAACACCTCGACTTTGGCTTCTCACGAGAAAGAAATTCACGCCGAAGCCTGGGTTGTGATCTAAGTGGGTTTTTATGAAGGATGGAAGAAGTTTCAGGTTTTACAGTCTCAAAAGAGTACACGGTATTTCGGGGAAGCGTGCCAAACTGCGCAAAAGCCGTGCTGGGGCCCACCACTGAACACGGGCGACCCGGTGGGACTGCTCACCCACACATGGTGACCTGAGGCCACAGAGACCGCAGCCCAGCCCAGCGGGCAGGAGAGCAGGGGCCGAAGGGGAGAGGGCAGAAGGCGAAAAAGGGACAGAAGGGGCCAACTGTCCTGGCTGCTACGGTATTTAAAGCTTCTTTCTGGCTGGGGAGATGTGGTTGAAGCTACTGGTTGACCCCAGTGGCTGAATTAAGCACACCGAGGCCTAGTTTGGGCCACCCAGGTGTACTGCCCACCTGGCTTGCAGGGCTTGAATGGGAGCATGCCTAATTAAAGGGTCCTTATAGGTGTTCAATGCTCGCCTGATTTTTCTTCCCAGCCTCCTTCAGGGGCTGGGTGCAGTCATGGGGAGGTACAACCCCCGTCCCTGTCTCTTGGAGTCCATGAGAGCAAGTGCTTTTATGCCACAAAGGAGTCAGACCTGAAGCCCCACTCCCCCCACAAAAAACAAAAAACAGAAGGTATTTCTCTCAAGAAGTCATATCTCCATCAAAGACAGATACATAAGGGGCTACAAAGAATTCATAGAAAAATGGAGTTGAAAGACAATAGAAATTGTATACCTGTGTCTGGAGCCAGCAATGGTGCCATTCCTTGGCCACCCGAAGGGAGGGTGGTGGAGAAGGATACAGGATGGTGTGCTGAGGACCCCAGAAGAACTAGCAATGCCCCTTCAGGCCATTCAGACAACCATCTCTCTGCCTTGGAGTACTTCAGGCCTAGATTTTACACGGAAGAGTATAGAGAGGCCAGAATTAGGCTCTGCCTATAGGGTCACTATGAGATGGAGTTGACGTCATGGGTGTGGAGGTGTTAGGTAGCAGGGATAGGGGATTGTTCCTCTCGATGCTTAGGGGCCCCCTACAGGAAGTTGGAAGCCAATGCAGGCTAAGGGGCACGTGCCAATTCAGGCACTGAGCAAGGGTGGGTGGGGCGAGGGGCCGTTTACCTGGGTTGGCTCAAACTAGGCCAGGTGAGCTTAATTCAGCCAGTGGGGCCAACCAGTACCGTCAACCCCA